CCGCCTAAGTAGGAGGGCTTACCTGATTGACGCAGTTCACCTGATTTGGGAACGTGGTCTTCGTTCTTAGCATCTTGGTTAGTCTCAACAGCCTTGGGGGAAATAGAACCCCTACCGCTTGCTCAGGTAGAGATCTCGATTTACTTGGGCTGACTCACATGCACAACCTTTCGGTGCTTGTGTGACATCTTGCCACAAGAGGAAGCCGAAGACAAGTATTCTTCGTACTTCGTTTGATTGAACTTGATGAAGAGGGACTCGATGATAGTCCCCGTAGCAACCTCGTCGAACTATACCACTACCATCTTGTTTGAAAAGATGGATTCTCCCACTGTGTTCGCCATCTTCTGTAGGTGGGTAACATTGATTTCTACGAAAAAGAGGCAATTTGTATTGATAATAATGGCTTATTACAAATCAAGAAATCAAGTTACAACAAAAGCAAAGAGAATGCTCTTCTTGTAAACGTGGGTTCTTCGGTAGCTATAGGATGCCTCCCTCGAATGCTTGTGTCGAGTTTGCTTCCCTTGGACGATCTGAACAAGAATGTGGGCAAGCTTCAGTACACAATAGAAGCTTGATTGGATGAGTTCGATCAATCGAGGCTAAACAAGTGCTTGTGCTTGTGGACCGAAGATGTCACGAATTCGGTCTTCTTGAATGACAAGAAGTCCGATCTCCAAAGAACAAGACTCCGCCAACGGTGTGCCAGGAACAAGACGGATCTCAAGTCCAAGATGGTCTTGAGATCTCTCAAATTCATCCTCAAAGAGGTTTGGTTTTCAGACCCTTTCTCTATGGCTACTCGTGGCCTTTTATAGAGAGGAAGGAGGGTGTAACCACTCCCTTAAATCATGACAAGTGACCATTCCTATACTGAGTTTAGCCATGAGAAGAATCATGACTAATCCCTTAAATAGTGGGAAGTGACCATTCCCATATTGGGTATGGCCATAAGGAGAATCATGGCCATTCCCTTAAATCATGGGAAGTGATCTCTCCCATGCCTCAAGTGGGTGGGCTTGGCAAGCTTGCGGGTAGGCTTGGCAAGCTTGCGGGTAGGCTTGGCAAGCTTGCGGGTGAGCTTGCCTTATGCAGGCAATCTTCAAGCGTGTAGGTGAGCTTAGGTCATGTAGGCGAGCTTCCAACTGTCAGGCGAGCTTGGCTCATGCAGGTGAGCTTCAAGCTGTCAGGCAATCTTGGATTATGCAGGCTTCTAGCTGTCAGGTGAGCTTGGCTCATGCAGTTAAGCTTGAAGCTATTAGGTGAGCTTAGCCTTCAGGCGAGGTTGGCTCATGCAGGCAAGCTTCATGCTGTTGGGCGAGCTTCAAGCTTTCAGGAGAGCTTGACCTTCAGGCGAGCTTCGTAGGCGAGGCTGTACAGGTGAGCCAGCCTCATTTAGGTGAGCTTAAAGCTTCAAGCCTTCAGGCGAGCTTGCTCTTCAGGCGAGCTAAACTCCTTTGCAGGCGAGCTCCAGAACATGCTACGAAGGACAAGTCATAACTTTCAAACCGTAAGTTAGAATTGGACAAATTATATATGAAAATCAGCTATCTTGATGAGACGAGGCCAACCAAACTATCCAAAGTTCGGTTTTCACTATCTGTTTTGCCAAATTCCCTTCGATTTGAGAGATATCAGCGTTTTTGTCTGTTTTGTGAAGTCAAACATTCAGGCGAACTTGACTTTCAGGTGGGTCTGACTTTGCTCAGGTGGGTCTGACTTCACATAGATAAACCGTTGAGCTCTTTTGTTTGTTCTAAGTTGCTGTGCAGGGATAAAGAAAATTTTTATTGCTTACAATAATTACTCTTTTATAACCTCCCACTATAATAAACCGTTTCCTCATCCTTTGCCTCTACTTGTTCAACTTCCCATGTAATTAATTATTAATTCCTTATTTAAACTTATTTCCTCCCCTAAATCATTAGGCAAAGGGCAAATGTTTTTTTGAATTCCAAAGTTCAAGAGGAGGGGAAAGGGATGAGTGGGGCAAAGATGGACAATGCAAGTGATGTACACTCTGTGAGGTTATAATTGTAAACACTAAACTAAAAGTAATATTTTCTTTAACAACTAGTGTATTAAAATTCACAATGTACATTTTGTTTCAACAACCTATTAAATTTTTTTCTCTTATGGCTATAACAAAAACAGATAAAAAACAACAACCACAACTAGGGAAAACAAAGCCAATATAGGCCCCGCGGCTGCTACCACAATGTCCATGCACGACCATAGGGCAACTAGATCGCTGATATATGAGACTCGCATAAAGACTCTCATGTCTGCCTCAGCACCGTAGAGACTATTGAGGCTGATGCCCTCGACTATGACGAGGCTACCCTTCGCTTCTGAGGAAACTGAGCTAAGCTCAACTTTCCCAAGAATGGCCCACTTTGACCACCGCAGCCGCCACGTGTGATAACTTCTCCAACAAAGGCGCTTGAAAAAAGAAGGAGAGAGTTTAATTTAAGGTTTGTGATAATTAAAGGTTATTGTATATCATAAGATCACGATCAGCAGGAGGGGAGGTTGTGGACAGTGATGAGACAAACCTCTCGCCTGATTTGAATCTTTCATCGGGAACTTAGCTTTTTCACGTGGACAACGTTGAACTTTCTGGGTTATTTGATAATGCAAGAAGTGTTGGTTATTAACATTTTAGTTATGGTGAATGTTTTGGATTGAGGGGTTAAGTTTAAGATAACTTAAGAATTAGGTAACCTATTAGCAATTTCAATCATTGGAGGGATTAAGTTTAAAATAACTTAAGGAATATTAGGGAACATCAATGATTTGGGGGGAGGGGGGCATTTCAAAATGTGAAAGATTTAAGGTGGTACTATCGAAATGACCATTTTTTAATATTCGTTTTTGGTGAGGTTATTGATAAACTAAGCTTCTTGTTTGTTAATCGATTAATTCTTTTTATATTTTTAGCTATTAACTAATTTTCATTATTTTCTTCTATATTATGAAATTTTCAATGTTGAGAAGGCAGTTTAGCTCCTGTTCTCTCTTACAAGTTATTCTCTTTCTACTATTTATTCTTTTTTGAATTTGAGTGTTAATATTGCTACTTCCTAAATCACCGTATTATGAAGCATAAGGACGTTTAAAGTATATGGTGCCTTGATTAGATTTACATATCCATACTATTATTTTCACTATTGGATCCTTCAGCTTGAGAAATATAACAACTGATGATGAAAATAGTTATTCTAATCTTTTTTCCAGTATGCATGATTTTACTCTAGAATGACCAAAATTTCTTTCTAATTCTTTATTTTAGATCTCTATTTTTCGCATTATATTATTTTATCATTTTCTTAACCACAAAATGTATTAAGGACATGAACAAATATAATTATGTGCAACGCACGTGCACTATACTAGTATATTAAAGTTCATAAAAGAATGTTAACTTTTATGAATAGATGTTAACTTTTGTGGACTGTTGTTAACTTTCATCTGTAAGTGTTAACTTTTACAAAAGGTTGTTAAATGTTGACCTTTGATGGTAATATTTACCATTGATGTTAATTAGTGTAATGGATATTAAGAATTTGAATGATTTGTCCAGAGTAAATATTTTTTTATGTAGGAAAATTAGTGCAGCTGTAGGTGATATCAGGCTTACAACAAGTTTTGGGACATACTACGCATTCATAAAAACATTTTGAACCAAGAATGAGGAAGTGACATTAGGATGCCTACAAGGGCAGTAATTTTGAGCACTATGTCTTATTTGGACCTCGAGCTGTTGATTGACTAGCACTAGAGAATGTGTTGAGTCATTATGTTGATAAACAGGATGAATTATCTTTTCCTCATTCTAAAACCGGTACGATAATGTTAATCAAATTTGATGAGGGGTGGGTGCAAGATCATATGGAATCCCCTATTGATGGAGAGTTAATTTATGAAAATAGAGACCCACATAACTGGCTCTGGATAGAGTACTTTGAAGAAAAAAAAGAAATGATGAAGGCCAATGCAAAGGCAAAGGGCCAAGAGAAAGAAGCAGCTAATAGCATGCGGAGATACAATGAAGAGTTACTGGAGAAACTTGTTGAGTCAAACTCAAAGAAGGATATTGAGGATTTTGTGCTATTTTAGATTTTGTACCATTGTGTAATGATTTACTGCCTTAACAGCTTGCAAGACATCCCAACTCGATATGTTACTAGCATTGAGAGAGTAAATAATATTGCGTGAGGTAAATTAATTTTTCAAGAGAAAAAGAGAGGCATTCAAATTGCCTTGGAAGGAATGAGAAAGTCAAGGGTTACGTACATTCCTAGATGCATGCCACTCATTCCTGTAAGTTGCATGTTTATATAGTTTGCTTTTGGTTTTAGTTATTAGCATTTTTTATAATTATGATGAAAGTTAACATGAATCTGAAAACATGTACAAGTTTGAAAGTTAACAGGATATTGTGACAATTAATAAGTTATCATGAAAATTAACACTTATGCATGAAAGTCAACATTACATTATGAAAGTTAATATGTACATCTGAAAGTTAACATGTACCAGTGAAACTTAACGTCTAAGGGTGAAAGTTATCAAGTTAGGCTGAAGTTGAACAAACAATTATGAAAGTTAGCAAGAAAATTTAGAACAAATATTTGCTGCTTATCCTTTATCTTTTTCATATTATCTGTAGTTTTACTAGTATATCAAAGTTTAAATGTATTTCATTCTATTTTAACAGTAATGGTACTATGAGATGACTGACATTAAAAAACTAGCCCTTAACTTCAGATGGAAGCCTCCTTTGACTAATTGGGTAATGATTAGAGAGAGAGCTAGATCAATAAGGAGAGATACAATTGCTTCAAAGGTAGAGAAAACAAGCATTGAAATAGTAGCAAAACTTATGTTAGCCACGGAATGAGAAATACCTTCAAAGAAAGCCCAGTTTGAGGAAGAATGACATCTCTCGCGGGGGAAGAAAAAGAATCCCTCTCATCTCTTGTAGGAGTAAATCTATGGAGCAATTGAGGCCAAAGAAGGTTGTTCATAAGAAGAAGGAGAAGCCAGAAAAGGTTGAGGAGAGACATAAGAGTTCATCAATAAGCTACGTAAGCATCAATTATTCTTTACACATTCTTGTATGTTAATATTGAACGTAATTCTATAACTTTATCAAAATTACATGTTAATTTGTATTCTTTCATGTTAACTTTCTGTGTGCATGTTAGTGTACATTGTTTCATGTTAACATACAGTGTTACATGTTAATATTCATCCATGCATGTTAATTCTTAGTGACATATTAACTTTTGGCCTTACATGTTAACTTTTTGACTTACATGTTAACCTTTCAACATTTTATTGTCTATGATAACTATAATCCTTATTTTTTTTCATTGTTTATCTAGCTGATAAGTATTTGGTAATTTTTTTAGATTATTTTGCAACATATCAGTGATGCTTTTGAGAGGGAAGATGAGATAAAGAAGTTAACAAGCCATGAACAGATTCGTTTTCGGAGGAATGCTATTAAAATAAATTGGAAATTGCTCCATGTTGTCAAGTGTAGTAAGTGATATCAGTGGGATGCTTGCGCAAAGGAGATACAAAGGGTTAACAAGAAAGTGGAACCTTATGAAGGAACCAGTAATCTCATTGACCACAAAGACCTAAAGAAGAATGTAAAGAATCTTATGGCACAGAATGATAGGCTTACTAAGGCTACACAAAAGGAAAAGAAAAATATTTTGGATTCTTGTAATAAGGGTGATGATATTAGTTGCTTCGATTATCGTGAAGTAACCAATATTGGAAAAGAAGATTCTCCAATTGTGGAAGAGGTTATGCAAATAGAGAAGGAAATAGAAAAAGTAGGAGAGAAAAAAAATAAGAAGCTTCACGAGAAGAGAAGGAAATGGAGAAAGAAGAAGGGAAAGAAGTGGATGTTGAGAATGTTGAGAAAGAAAAAGAGAAGAAATAAGGGAATGAAGAGGATGCTGAGAATGTGGAGAAACAGAAAGAGAAGAAAGTGGAAGAGAAAGAAGAAGAGAAGAAAGATGAAGAGAAAAAAGCGGAGAAAGAAAATGTTGAAGACATCAATTGAGAAATTCATTGTAGCACCAGAAGCAAAA